CTCCCCGGCCTCAGGGGCCATGCTAATCTTCTCTCTGGCCGTTCCATTTTTTTTTTTATTTTTTTTTTTCCCCAACTCTTCAAATGTGGCCCAGTACCCAAGGCTGATATTACAAAAAGGCTCTCTGAGGCTGGGGTCCTCGCAATCTACCCGGATGAACAAAATTTTTCTGGAAGTCTTAGCCATCTTCGCTTTTTACAGGACCCACAACGGGACCCGACGAGATAGAACTCAAAACAGCAGCCAATCTGAGATAACTATCTACCAGACTTTAAGAAAGGAAGGAGCTTATCATTTAAAAGTACTTCATAGCTAGTCTAAAAGAACTGTTAACACCTGAGCACTAGCATGTGGAAAGAAATATCTCCTACAGGAGCTTATATCATTTAAAAGTACTTTATAGCTAGTCTAAAAGAACTGTTAACACCTGACCACTACCATGTGAAAAAAAAATATCTCCTACTGACTACTAATGATATATGAAACTGGAAAGCTTTCTCGCAGCTCAGAACCCGCGCTGCAAAGCCAAAGCCATTGACCCTCCACGGCCTAAACAGCGGTCGGATATTTGTCCTTTATGCTACAGGCTTCCCCTGAATACAACGTACTACGGTCATTATAGCTGAATTTAGACTGAAAGATACACCAAATTCAGCTATAATGAGCGTAATACGTTGTATTCAGGGGAAGACTGTAGCTTAGGGCGTCGTTCGACACTCCTCGGGGACGCGATTTCGAGGATTTCGTCATCGTTCCACCCGTCCTCGGAGCCGATTTTCGGAACAGAAATGTTAAAACATTCCGAGGACAAATCCTCGGGCTCCGAGGATTTCCCAGCCAAATCGTCCTCGGGTTCAAGGGACCTCGCGAGGTCCTTTGGAGCTCGAGGATCCGCGATTATCGGGGTGTCGGCGGCGCGTCACGAAGGGGCAACGGAGGTCGAAAGTGGTCCAGAGGTGGTCCGGAAGGTGGAAGACGGACATCCCGAGGCGAGGGCGTCTAAAACGTCGAGTAACGGCCTCGTCGTTTTAACGTTGGCGGTGATCGTCGCGGGAAGGCCCTGTCGGTTCGTCGGGTGTCCCGACGCAGGTGCAGTGGCGAGCATCGGACGTCTTCGGCCGGCTCCCGCAGTGGTCGTCCCGTTCCCGCGTGCTCCACAATGGTCGAAAAATACGTATTTTGTAAGCACCCTCCTGCAGCCAGCTGCGAGATTGCATCAATTTCATTCGTTGGCATCTTCCCTCTCGCACTGCTTGTCTCCGTTCGCCGCGCTTGCCACAGCGCGAGTGCATCTTTTGTTTCTGCTATCCTGTCGTTCATGGCAGACCTGTACTGCAGGCGGCCTTTGCTGTTGCTCGCCGTTGTGCTGCTGCTTGCCGTTGTCGTCTTCCATATTTGCTGCCTCGTGCGCGTTCCAGGGAGGAAACAGACGCGGCAAACGTCGAAGACGGCCAGGAAGATGGAGAGGGTACAAATGAGGACCACGCTGTCCGTTGGGGCTGCGGGGTCGTTACGTCAGCGCTGCAGAAGTGCGGAAGCAGTGAGGCGGCCGTACGACCCCGCACAGTACAGCCACCTGCCGTCCCACGAGATACCGTTGCCTCCAAGTGACGATGACGGCGACGACCCACGATGTTCTACCCTTCCTCTGGGCAGGGGTTCGACTCAGGATTGGATGGGGAGCCAGCTGCACAGGCAGGCATCGACGCCGACGTACACTGATCTGCTGGAGGGGTGTACCCCGGCTGGTTATGACCCAGGATTGGTGGATCTCGGCTTCGGATTGAGGTCCGGGAGTGCCAAGGAGGTGACGCGCACCGTTATCGTGAACCCAACTTCGGGCACCACCCACACACC